GATCCAAACATTGGCTCCCAACACAACCTTTACCCCGATTCTGTCTGAGACGTCCTTTCCTGGAGTTTAAGCTCTTGGGGGTGCCCTCGGACTAGGACCAGAAGCACCGCAGAGGACTCCACCGACTGCCCAGAACAAGACGGCCTTGGTGCCCTTGGTGTAAATGTTGAGGAAGTCCCCGGTGTCCAGCTGGCTCAAAGGGTCGAATCGGACGATGATCCGCGAGGCTTTGGGCAGCCGGACGACTCTTACTGCGCTCTTTCCAAGATCATCCTTGCAGGGGGTTCGGGTGAGGCAACTATGGCGGTGGACTCGGGTCCTTGTTGATGGGGTGATTGGTCTCCACCACGCGCTTACACACCGTCGGAATGTGCTCAGCTGATCTCCACGTCAAAGCTGGCATCATGTCCACTCCTCAACTACCGTGCACATGAGACTTTAGCGGCTTTAGCGAGACTCCACCGTGTTCACTTTGGTACCACGCTTTTTCGCTCAGGCTCCCATGGCTCCACCTAGGATGAAGCTGAAACACTTGTCGCGCTCTTGGGCATCGATGGCTTCCACAGCTCTCAGAAGCGACACCCTCTGCCTGCCGAGGCTTTGGGGAAATTCCGACAGATCTCAAATTTCAGCCCGCCATCTCAGCCTGGCCTAGCAAGGGTACTGAAGACCGCCTGCACCGTGTCGGCTTCGTCCCCGGAAGCCGCTGCGACGGCATCGATCTGTTCACTCCAGAGGCTGAATGTGCAGGAGGCTACGGCCAGGCTTTGCACGTCATCTGGCTCCAGCTCCGATGCAGACCAGGCCGTCCTCGTCGCGACAAATAAACACACAACAATCTCGTCATCCAAAACAAAGAGCACTACACTGCAGGGAATATATGCTGCCAAACGTCATTGCGAGGTGTGCGTGGCACTGCATCAAAACACTGTAGTTCCTCGGGTTCACGGCTGACGATCTGAAATGCAGACTCTGAAGCCTTCATACCCCAACTCTAAAAGCGTAGATGTCTGAATGTACACATGTCTATGTATCCACGGGCACATGCACGGATGTAAGTATGTATGAAGGCATCCACGCACGCATGCATGTATGTGGTGCTTTGCATGCATATGTGTGTGTGTGTGTATGTATATATATATACGTACACGCATACACAAGTGTATACGCATGTATCACATGTGCACTACACTTCTGACACCTAACGCTTCACAGCTGGACTCGGCGAGGCTCTTGGAGACGTTGGCCTGACGGATCCATCGCGCCAAGATCTTCCTGGCCAACTTCTGGATGAAGCGACGGAAGATCTTGCTGTGTTCCTGAAAGACACGACGGACTCTTGACTGGAAGCGTGCATGCGTATACATCTGTGTGTGTTTGTGCATGTATATGTCACTGCACCATGTCATGACGATAAGTAGCAGGAACAAGAAGAGCACCAGAAACATCCTGAACTCGAACACACATTCGAAGAACTCTCGTCTCAGGATGTCTCGTGCGTGTCCTCGAGACATGCCAAGGCTTCCCCCGTGGCAGACCGCCGCGCAACCTCCACGAAGTCCTAAGAAGGTCGACATGTCTCGGAGTTTGTCAGGTTGCTCACAATTTCAGGATGAGCATCAGGGGACAAACTCATGTGCATGGGTGCCATATCATCTGTTGGACTCCGTCGCCATCGATAGCCGTTTATCTGTATACAACTATATGGACGAACACGTCGCACAAAGCTGATTCGATTCTAGAGACTTCGCATTCGCCACAATCTTCCCGAAATCTCAAGCAC